CATTCCTGCCCTAGAACCAGCGAAATTAGAAAACATGAAAAAATATGTATAATTCACAACAGATTTATTTTGTTGATTTCTGTCCTGGTGAGATTTCTCTAGTTGCTGTAAAGTAGATATTTGCTCTGAAGCCACCTTACACATCTTTTGGTTTTGCCACATAATGGTGTTTGTTTTATGCAATAATAATGTGAGAAAAAAAAAAAAAAAAATTTGGTTGCATGCTGAACAAAAAGTTCAGTCCCAGGATACATATACCTCACCCTGATCACCCTGTTGTGGTGGTGGTGGTAGGAAAGGGGTTTTTTTTATATTTTAAAAGAACAGTACAAAATTAATAAACTACGTGGAGATGGGTTTTGCCGTGTTATTTAAGTTATTTAGGCATCCAGGTTTTTTCAAGATAGCAGAAAAGCTGGACTAAGCAATTCCAGCACTGATGAATGGAAAATTCAGTAATTCAAGGGTCCCAGGAAAAAACTGAAACACAGCAAAAGCTGAAATTATTGCTTTATGCATATTAGGAAGTATGTTAATCTGATTGTATTTGCTGCCTTGGCTTGTAAATTAAGGAGGGATTCAGTAGCCAAGCATTTAACTTATTGTCTGATGATGACCAGGATAGTTAAAAGTCTCCTGGCTTAAAATTAATAGTGTTTTCTGTTTTTAAGTGATTTAAAAATTATAAATGGAAAATTCCATGCAGAGACAAAGTAGTATTGATACTAATGACCTATTAATTATGCCTGTTTTGACATCTGATAGCCCAGACACCAGAATGAACAAACACTTCGTATTTGCTTGTCATCAATGGACGTCTTCACAGCCTGACAGAAAACAAACCACATTGTTATCGTTATCTGATGTTTTTACAATGTGTGAAATGTACTTGCACTTAAAAGCTGACACCTTTTCTTATAACACAATAAATACACCTGCACAGAAGCTGGCGAGTCTTTGGCAGGTATGAATAATAATTTTGAAACCATTTAGAATAGGTGTAAATCTCGTAGCTATATGCCTGATGTTTGTTTCCTCATTAGCAGAGATGATTTGAAAGGCAGATGTTCTTCTTCTTGAAAATCTGAGATACACCTCTAAATTCCCATATTGTTTGTACCTACAGATGAAATTAGAACTTCCTCCTATTGTCTTTGTCGTATGTCCCATCGTCCCTAACTGACGCATATTGTATAGTCTACTCATTTCAAACAAGGCTATGGCGTTTTCAAGATGAAACTGTTTCTAAAACTAAAAAATGGCTGAAATCCAAAGATTATTATCACCTCATCCATTCCTTGCAATGTTACATGAGAGAATTTTCCATATCACAGGCACACTTTCTGTCATCTTTTCTTTGATTTCACGCTAGCAAGAGATGTTATTGTGGCATTTTGTTGTGATTGAGACTAACTTGTAAATTATCTTTGAAATATTTTTTTTAAAAAGGGAATTGTGATTCAATAGTTATCACTTGATTTGAATGATTTCAAGTATCGTTAGTGCTGGAAATCTTATATATATATATACATATATATATGTACATATATATATAAATCATATATTACATTCTGATTTTGGCATTAAAAGAAATCTCATGAGAAAATAATTATGTAAAGTTTGGGATGAAGACAGAGAATGTCCCTGCTTTTTACTTAATAAATCATTTTAATTTTTTTTTAACAGAGCATGTATATCAGTGTTGAAGGGAAATTTCTAGCTAGCTCTACTCTAACTACATCACTTCAACTATTTATGATAAACAAAATGTTTTCTTTTTTTAAATAATTGACAGGAAACATGACTATTTGGGTGTATAGAAGATTTTACAAGTCAAATAAGAGTGAAGAGACCAGATATATATAGAATAACAAAGTTTTAGTTAATGGTCATTCAGGCACTCTCTCTAGCTTTGTAGCAATACCAAAATAAGGATGTAGTCAAAACAATTGAGATCAACATATTTTATACTAAAGGGAAATAGCTTTTTTTTATGAATCATAGAATTAATCTGTGTTTATTACCATAGCTGTCCCAGAAAATATTACACTGTTTTTTCTTAAAACTAGATTAGACATTTATTTATATATAAAATAATGTTTGCAATTACATTATATCTGTAGGATACAGATATAACCTTTATTTTTTAGGTCATCACCCAATCACTAGTTCGTTCAGTAATTCCAGGAGTTATGGGAGAGGGAACTTAGTTTGGGGAGATACTAGTCCTTAATTATGAATAATGCAATTTCACAAACTTTTCCCTTTGATGTCGTAAAATATAAGAAGGGACCACACAGTGGTGTTATAAATGTGTACACTTAGACTCTTCTTTTTTCTTCTTCTTCTTTCATGGACAATATAGTGTATAGATTATATCATCTTCAGTTTGTGGATATATTCCAAGTATTGATGATAAGAAAAACAAGTACATGCATTTGTGAGAACATCTTATCTGAGTACTGGAATAGATTGCCCAGGTAGTTTGTGCAGTCTACCTCCTTAGAGATATTCAAAAACCATCTGGTCCTGGGCAACTGTCTCTAGGTGGCCCTACTTGGACAAGGTGACTTGAAGAGGTTCCTTCAAACCTCAACCATTCTGTGATTCTGTAATTCTGTAAGACAAGTAGTCCAGTAGTTCTAATTTCTGACATTCTAACTAGTGGTGACAATGGCTTCCCTTCTCCTCTACGGCTATTTTCTTTAGTCTAGGTCTAACGAACGTCTGCTTGCCACAGGTTTCGTTGATATATACACTTTATTTTTTGCCGTGCAAAAAAAATCACCTTGAAAGGAATTCAAAATATAGAGCTATATTTATGGCTGGGAAACACTTTGGGTTTTCCCCTACCCCAAGATTTAGACATGTTAAGTCTAATGAAAAGAAGCAATTGTATTTAAATTTAATTGTATTCACCACTCCTTTGCAGGGTGCGCAATGATTTTGATGTGCTTACGAATCGGTTGATTGGCAGCCATGGCTATTGTACTCAGGTAAGGTAAGCGTGCAGTCTTGGGGATGTCATATTCCTCCACATGAACAGCTGTGAACTGACCTCTTGGTAGAGATGGCATTTCTTATTTGAAATTCCTAATGTTTTTCCTTTTTCCCAATAATGTCAAATACCTTAATCCTTTATTCTTTTTTCCTCATGTTTTTTGCATATTTTTGTCTTTGCTTTCCAAGCCTCTGCTTTTTGGCCTGGTTTCTGGTCCACATGTGTCTGTATCTGTGTGCATGTGTCCATACTCCTCTCATCTGCCTCTTTTGAACTTTTTAGTTGATTTTAGTGCTGAGATACTGCTGATACTGCAAACTATGTTTCCTCCCTACCATTTCAGAAAGGTAGACAAGGTTACATGTCTCATATTTACATGTGAGCTCCTCTGTAAATGGTCACTGCCCAGCTAACTGAGCTGATGCTAACTGAAGCTAACTAGTGCTTCAAACTGGAGACACTGACTTATTATTGTGTGTCTAAAAGACATGTGGTGCTTGAAAATAAGCAGTCTGAATTGCTATCTGACAATTAGGACCACAACTTTATGTAGTGTAAATTTCAGCTTGTGTTCTGTACCAAATGTCTCTCACTGGCTCTAGGCCTGCAAGGGCATCCATCCAATTGGAAGTGCTTTGCCTTGGACACATAAGTGAAATGTAGATCCCAAAATTCTGAGACATGAATTCCCCCAAAGGTGGGACAAGGGCAGTTTTTTGGTGTCAGTATGGTCCACAACTATTAAATGTACTGCCATTTTGGCTGCAAAAGGCAAACTGCGTGTTCTTCTCTTGTACTGCTGCTAAAAGACTTTTATACTGTGGTTACACAGTGATTCCTCAAGAATGTGGTGGAACATCACTGGTGGAGTAGAAGTCCAAAAAACAACTTTGGGAAGTCCTTCAGGAGAAACATGGGGCTATAAATATGTGCAGTATTTTTAAAATCAAGTCTGAACTGGCAATACCAGTGTTACTCATGTCTTTGGGCATGGTAATTTGGATTATTTTTTCTGGAAGCTTTCTTCTTATTATTGCCCTTCATGTTTCTTGACACATGTTATTTATTAATAGTTAGCTGGTTCGTTGCTATAGCACAGTCTGCTGGTTGTTGCCTACTGTTACATCCTAGCTGGCCCTTGCAGGATCTTATGCTAAACAAAATCTCTAGTTCCTTGAACTTTAGGCACACTCACATGTGCACTTGCACACACACACACCCTTTCACATGTATGTAGCCTCTGACACACTCATCCTTAAGTTGGGTAGGAGCAGAAATAATCAACAATCTACTTTAATAAGTATATTAGTTATATGGACCAGATGTGAAGCCATATGGGAGAATGTTGTACGGAATGAGACTTAAGTTCATCCACAAATAATCAGTGAGAAAAAAGGTCTTGTTCAACATACAAAATACATCACTGGACACAAGCAGAAATATCAGATAGTACTGTACAGGCTTTAAATTTATATAATTCATGCTTTAGCTTTCATTGTAGACAAAAAAGGACACCAAAATATTTTAATTTTAAAAACACCCAACACTAATACAAGAAGCTTGAGAATTGGATGTAAGAGTAAATTGATTATCAGTAGTTTGCCTCTGGAAAGAGGAACATTGAAAACTCAGCTCATATTTCCTCATTATACTTTATGAGTAGACTTTCCCAAAAATATCTGGAAAAAGTTTTATAAACAATCCTAATCCTAACCCTAAACTTAAAGCCACCACATAAATTAAGGGTCTGGTACATGTGTAACTCTATCAATCTTAAATAACTCTCTACTGATGTCTGGTAGAGACATGGTGTTTAACTAGTGGGTTTTTTTGTTTTTTTGTTTGTTTTTAAACATGTCACAAACAGGAATTGGTGAACTTGCTTTTGACTGGCAAAGCTGTGTCCAATGTTTTCAACAATGTGATAGAGCTGGACTCTGGAAATGGCAATATCACAATTTTGAAAGGGATCACAAGCCGCAGTGATATTGGTTTGCTGTCTCTCTTCGAGCACTATGATGTTTGTCAGGTATGATTTCCATTCTTCTGATTTTAATTAAAAAGAAAACAATTATATTTAAAATTGGCTTGGAGTGAGTTTAGCAGCTAGGAAATTATGGACTTGATTCAGTTGCTCCCTCTAGTGCTGTTTTAGATGCCCCAAGTCAAGAGTGTGGTCTCCCTTCTGGATGCAGGCTCAATGTCACAACTGCCAGCCCTTGGTAAATGACTTGAGTAGTCTAGAGCATCTCAAATTTTACGTGCCTGTGTTGTTTTCTAAGTGATCTCCTGAAGTGGGAGTCAGCTTACAGACTGACATACTTCTATTTAAGTGGCTACTGTATAGATCTGTATACACGAACTAGGATGTGTATTCTACGTTAAGCTTACCAAGTTCCTCTGTCTGTGTTCACTAGATCTCCACTGATTATAGAGGAGTTGAGACACCCAGCTCACCTGCAGACACTTATATCTTAGTCATGTGCATATAAGCTGAATCTGGAGCTGAAACTCAAAGTATTCAGTTTTTTCACAAGTTCCTATTTGATAGGGACCCAGACTGATTGAATCCTCTGCTCCATGCTGTAATGGTGGTCATATTGTATTAGCAGTAAAGAAAATAATAGACAATTAAAATAGCTGTCAATATAAAGGGAATGTTCCTTTTAACATATCCTTGAAATTAGTATTTTAATTGTAATCATAATGCAAGTGAAAAGCTAGGTCAAAAATTTCAAAGAAGTGACAGACATTAATTTACCTCTGGAAAATCTTCTATAAGGATTTCACTGGTTCTCCATCAACAGACATTGTCATCCAGATGAACATCTTTTCTAAAGACATATTCTGTCTTAAATAGACAATATTGTGTTTGATGCAAGGATATTATTTGAAATTCTGTTGCTTGTGTTAGAAGCAAGATTCGATAATTGTGATGGTCCCATCTGGATTTGCAGTCAGTGCCTCTATAAAAATTTGAAAGTGATTAGCAAATAATTTGTTTGTACTGATCTAATATAAATGTGTGACTGAAAACAAAGCTTGATTTTAACTGTTTCCCATATGGCTAAAGCCAGTTACATTTTTCTACTACTAGCAAATTATAATTTTTGTTATTTTTAATTAATACAATCCTTTACATTAGTCACAATATTATAATAAGGCTTAAATTCAGTAAAGACAGCATATCAGTGTATCCAAATCAGATTAATTCAGAACAAACTGGACTAAAAGTAAATTAGCTTTTGTGTCTAGTTCAAGCTCCTTGTCCCTTTCTATAAACAATGTAACATTTAAAACCTCAAAAAATGGTTATGCACTACTGTAGCATTTTTTCCATTCTGTAGTGAGGACAATGACTTCTAAGTAGCAAAATGGTAAGTGAGGACAGTGCAGGTAAGAGCTATTTCTTTTCCATCTGCCCTCTAAAAATAAAAGAAAAAGTTACCCAGTGAATCAGACAGTGTCTTCCACTTATTTTGCAAATTATACGGTGAAGGGGGTTTGTTTCTTCTACCACTGTGCTCTTGCATGGAAGCTGCACTCATGAGCAGTGATCTGTTTTCCAAGCTGGTGACTCTTAATCAGTTACAGAAACTCCAGTAGACGTAGTTTCCTTTTTTTTTCAGACTACACCAGTTAGGCTTCTGATGCAAATTGTCTTGCTTTTTATTAAGAACATCTGCGAGTCCTCCACGTTTCAGTTCGTGTTCCTCTGTGCAGGCTGCAGTGCCTGCCTTAGGACTAGGACAAAAGTCAGGTTCTGGTGGACTTTGACCTCAAGCCTGGGGTGTCTCCATTGTGGCTTCAGCATAAAGAGCTAGATTCTGCTTTCTGTTACAAAGATACAAGTTTAGAAATATTTTGAAAAAAATAAATATTACTAATAGTTTGGAGTAGTGGAAGTGATAATAGCATTTGCCTGTAAGTTTTTCAAAGTGACTCTTTTCTTCCTCTCTGTTTCGGTAAGTGGATTGAACGTCCAGTTACGTTGTGACTATGAGGATGGTAACTGAAACCAGTAATGGAAAAGGACTGTCATTTTTGGTGGGTTTTTTTTTTTTGTTGTTTCCAGGAGTAAGAAAATCCTGTGGATGATATATGATGAATCACAGACATAAGAGTTGGAAAACTCCCTTTAGGTCATATCCAGCCAATCTCTCAGGGGAATATTTAAGGATATTTTTATGTCCTTTTATATAGTAGGCTTTCTTTTAAAAATCTGTATCCATAAAGTTCCTGCCTTTTTGTTCAGATGGCTATTTCTTAGTTGAATGTAGTGCATATAACTGTAATCTTACCTTTTTTCTCACACGTCTCTACTTTAAAATATGAGGAAGTGCAAATAGAGATTTGGAGGTACCTGCTATGTTGAGATTTTGGTATCTACTACACAGCTTGTGCTAATGTACTCATATTAAATCTGACTGTTCATTTACTTAGTTTCCTATGATTATAATTCTTACTTCTAGTCCAGCCTGCCCCCCTAAACAATTCATCCCCATCCGCTAGACATTTGCAAGCTGATGTAACAGTTCCTCCCTTTTTCATCAGTACATCCTGTCCAAAGCTTATTTTTATTGCTCCACTCTAGACTTCTTCCATTTGCCAACACATTTAGGAAGAGATATGCAAGATTCCACGCTAGATGAAGTAAATCCACATAGAGAAAGATTTCTATACCGTTTTATCTCCCTTGTTTAAAATGTGGACTATTTGTATATAATCCACAATTTCCTTGGCATGTCTTCTGGGTTGAAAATATCATGAGGGCAGGAGAACTGAATTAATCCTTTTGTCAAACTTCAACAGTAGCAAATTGAAACAAAATGCTCAGTCCCTTTTTTTCCCAGTGATGGCTTGAAGAATCCCTTTGTTGCTGATCCAGTAATCTCTTTCAGTAGATCATGCTGAATCTGTTATATGTGCTGATTGGAAAAACGTGTGCTTCATGTAATTTGTCTGGAATTGTTAATATCTAATCATCACTCTTGGACCTAACATATCACCGTGCTCAGTATATTTTTTGTAATGTAATTACTTACTGCGAATTGTTTCACAATGACAGATGGATTTATTCAGTATATTTCATGTGCAAACATTTAGTTTCATAGCGAGATTCCATATGTTAATGCAAAAAAGCTAAAAGTCAAATTCTGTTACTTTTCAGTAGGCAGGTTACACATCTTTGGATTTCTTTCTTACTAAGGCCATATTTAAGCTATGTTAATTCCATCTGATCTTACACATTTAACTAAGAAGCCTAAATTAAGATTTTAGGTTTCCTGGGACTCCTTTGGAGCTCTTTAAGCAAAAGAAACATTTCCAGAAGCTGGTCAGCCCACATAAAATTGGTGCAAGTTTTCCTCTGTTTGCTGGGCTGCAGCATGCAGCAGTTTAGCAGCAGTCTCAGGGAAGCTGAATCGTTTCTGCAGCAAGGACAAGACCTCAGAGAAAAGGGTGAGGCACAACCAATTATAGACATTGTGAGTGAAAAAGTCCCTGCATTTAGGTCAAGGTCTTTGGCCTTAATGCTGCATTAAAATTGCTGTTGAAAAGACTTTGAATGATAAGATATTCTTTTCAAAAATTATTGTGATGTTAAAAGTAGAAACAGATGGAAACAGATGCTCTTTGTATTTTTAACAGATCATTTAAGAAACTAACAGTGACAAAAAAGAAAAATAATCTACAGTCTCATCTGAAGAATTTTAAAGATACTACTATTATTATTATAAGTATTATCATTAATAATGATAATAACAATATTTAACATTTATATGCCATTTCCTATAAATAGGACTGTGCTTTGCAAAAGTCAAGTATCATTACTATATTACCGAGGAGGTAACAGATGAACAAAAGACAAAGTACTTATCGCAAGAAATCATCCAGTAAGCTAGTGTCTGAACTGGGAAGACAGTACAGAGCTTCTGAATCTGTCATTTTAGAATAAAATTAATTAATTAGTGTGATACTGACTGATGAATTTGGCCATTCTTCTGAAATGCTTTTTGAAGCCACTTTAGGTATGTGCTGTTGTACATGAAGTAATGGAAGTATTCAAGGTTATTTGTCTCTTTGAAACTCTGATTCTGGTTCTTTGTCTTCACTGTTTCTCTCCTTCTTTTAACCTGTCCTGCTATAGTAATTAAACCTCCTATTATCTGACCTCCTAAACTCACCCTACTCTGATTTTTGACAATGTCCAAGTCTCTACCTCAGCTGTCAGCATTTCAAGAGACTAATGCTTTTTTCTGTTTTTGCATTTCTGAAAATGAAGAGAGAATGTGGCACTGACAAAGAAGTTATGCTCATTTTTCCTATTTCTTTTAAAAAGAGAGAGAAAAATAAATAAACATAATTTATTCATTAAAATTCCACAGATGGGAAATATTATCTTTGGTCCTTTTGATGAAACCAGCACACTCTGTGCTATAACGAGGCCTACTTGAATTTTTAAATTCAGCACACATACTCTGTCTTCTGGCACCTCACCTGTTTATGTGCCCTGTGGAACGTCCTTCCTATAACCCTCTTCACTGGGAAATATGTCTGCTAAACAAGCACCTTTCTCAGTCAGATGGACTGGATTCAAGCCAGGTCATTGGTTGGGTTGTGGAGGGGGAGGTTTAGAAAGAATTTTTTAACCATCTCGTTTAAGAAACCAACCAAAAATATGCATGAGCAAAATGGAAATTGATGGTTGGTTTTAATTTTCCACTTATTTTTCAGTAATGAGTATGTGGTAGATATTGTGCCATGTAGATGTGTTCAGCAAGGGACCCTGCTATTTATATAAGACATTTGTGAATACCACTGTGGGCAAAACCATGTGATACGTACAAGTTTGACTGAAACAAGTCTGACAAGGCATTGACCAGTTAAAAAGTCTGTTGTTCATTCCTTGTTTTCACATCTCCCTTTGTAGCCTGAGAATGAAATTTTCTTTAATGAAGTCCTATTGTCCTTCTACTTATCCATGGACAGTTATTTTCCCAGAGGCTAGTCACGGTTGCTGGGAGATTG